CAATTCGTACTAGCGCATTTTAAAACAAGTATCATATATGACTCCGTTGTATCAGAAGCATACTGAGTAAGGCTCCAATTCGAGTAGTACCCCATGTCAAACAAAGATTTACAACAAAGAATTGTACAACCGTACAAATCCCATCTCTAAAAAATACATGATTTTGTATTGGACCACGGGGGATTCATTCTCATCTCTCAAAATAGCAAAAAATAAAAGAAATTCTTAGGCCTCTCCCGAAACCCTAAATCCTAAACCCGAAATTATGTTGTTGTACCTAGTTAGAACAAAAAGAATTGAAACTTGTAAGCAGACTGACCAAAAACCCTTATCTTACTGATTCGAAGACCTTATCTTGTAAAAGAAGACCCTAATGACAATGATGCCGTAATAAAACCTAGGGTTTGTCCAATATAGGTCCTTACAATTTTTATTTCCTAGAGCCATTTAATCTCAACTTTTTTTCTAACTTAAAATCAATAAAAAGCAATAATCTTTGAGAGAGATCAAACAAATGAAGAAAACTCATAAATCCCTTTGAGTTAAGCCCATAATAATAATTAATCAGGGAGAAAGGAAGGATGAACCCTATCTATCATTGATTTAGTAGTAAATATCCATGATCTGGAATTTAATTGTTAACCTATCTATCATTAATTCTAGATTAATTACCCAGTGGGATGAAAGGAAGGATGAAGCCTAGCTGGAACGGACTAAAAGATGAAGCACCTCAGATGCAATATGGCTTAGAGGAAAACCGATCAGATGTAGGGAAGTAGAGAGAGATAGAGAGCCCTCCCTAACCACAGGGGAGGGGGTACTATTAGCATTAGACACCATCGACAGAGTGGATGATTTGAGATTAATAAGTTGGCCAGGATCAAATGTCATGTGATCCGTAGCGCCCGAGTCAAAAATCTATGCTGAGTTTTTGGAGGACGTATGAAAAGTAGAAGCTTTGGTGGTGGTGATAGAAGCAGAAGTCTGGGTAGCCGGGGCAGCAGGATTGACCGCTTGCTTCTATGAGTCTGCAATAAGATGGAGAATCGTAGGGGTTCTTGACATCGCAGCGGAAGTAAGATGTGATATGAGAAGGTGAGGAATTTGATGTACGAATTTGATGTAGGAATTGGATTTAAGAGGTATGTGTATAAGATTTGAGGGTATGTGTTCAGGGATTTGGATAACAGGATTTGAGGATTTTAGATTTGAGGGATTTGGATTTGGGGAAAATTATAAGGAATTTGATTTAGGGTTTTGGATTTGAATATAAGAAATTTGAGATAAGGGTTTAGAGACAACCTAGGATCGATTACTCTGATACCATGCTAAAAAATTAATATGGTTTGAATGTATTAGGTTGAATATTCTTCTCCATAAGGATATATATATATAGGAGTTTACATGAGTACTTTACAAGCAAATAGATACAATAATCAATTAGGATAGTATCTCCTAATTAATTGCAATATGTTTCTTTTTCTCCTCAACAAAATTGTTACTAAAATGGAACAAAAGATCCCTAACATAGAACAATACAGGCAAAGATAGTCAATTGTCATACACACAAAATTAGTCCTCATCCATCCTTGCAGGCTGATCTCTCTTACTAGGGCCACCTGCTGGTTTTGCCATTATAATCTGCAAGATAGTCAAAGCATTGTCAAGTTTTCCGCCTTATCTGTGCCCACAGTTAGAACAAGCAAGCCAAGAGAATATGATAAAACTAAACTTATACGTATCAAGTCTAAAAGAACAAATAATGTACAATAAGTAGGACCCTTTTTGCCAAAACAAAGCATATTGGATCCATATCAGCAAAGCAATAAGAATTGTCCAATTTGGAAATCTCCAACTCAATCACCAATGTCATAAATCAATATTAATAACAATTTCACGAATCAAGCACAATCTTGGATACTACACTTCTGTTTCTTTCTGCAGTTTTATCTTGACAATTTCTGTTTCTTTCCCTTTCTCTTTTCAAATTGCACAAGAAAAAGAAAAGGCCCCAACTTGTTTATTGTATTGTTATTGCCTTTTTATTGCTCGTGTATTGTCACTGTATTGCTTGTTTATTGCTACCTTATTGTTTTTGTATTGCATGTCTGCTACCACTTCATAATTGATGTGCCATTGCTCTTGTATTGCTTTTTGGTTGGTTTTCTTAATTAATATAATTTCTTGCAGGGGAAGCAACTATGAGTTTGATTTATTAAAAGGATGTGACGTCATTAATGGAATCACATTCTTACAATAATAAATAATAAATAATAAATAAATAAGCAATAATGGAATCACATTCTTACACCAATAGCTGAACACAAATCAATCATATTGAAGAGATGCATATACGGTGTGATAAGTCCATAAATATACTCATTTATGTACTCTTTTTACTTAAGTTTTGTAGGAGAATTAGATTTAAAAAGGGCTTATTACTTTACTTTTCTGATTTTCAGCTTTTCTGCGCTCTTAGAAGGTTTTTAAGGAAAAATCAACTTTTCGGAGGAATTTTAGAGCAAGGCCAATTGGAGATGAAAGCTAACATCTTGAAGTTCAATCTGTGATTTTTCTAGAATTTTCTACAAAGCCAATTGGTACAGTATTACAAGTAAAGTTAGCCCACGTGCAGACAAGACAGTTTCATACATGTTACGTGAATGTGAAGAAACGGAAGCCTTCCCGAATTTTCCAAGTTACGTGCTATATATGGTTGGAAAGATAAGACATTTATCTTTCTAAAATATATTTTTAATGATTTTTCTGCAAGGCTGAAGATCCCCAAATCGTGTGACAATTGGGCTGAGCTGTATTTCCCTGTGGAGTTAGGAATTGTGATTTTTACTTTCCTATTTGGATTCCTTGTTTACCAAGACTTCTTGGACGACTTGTCAGTCAATTTTAGGGTTTTAGAACTCTGATATAAGTGATATAAAAGGCCAGCCAAGGCCCCGGATACAGATTCACGTCAAAAAGGGATCAACCGTGTAAGAGGAGAAAGCTGCCAACGAGTTCTTTCTTTTCCTTTCTTCTTTTAAGTTTCAGTTCTTATGTATTTATTTTTGAGTTCATCCAAGAGCATGAGTAACTAATTTCTTGTTAGTTAGGGCTTAATCTTGAAGCCCTAAACATGATTTCAATTCTATAGACAAGTTTGAATGGATTTTCAGTTTCTACAAGCGTGATGATTTCGGTTTCTCTAGGTTATGTGAATTCTGATATTTTGTTTCTTTGAGTAGCTAACTTTGAAGCATGTATTGGAATTAAATTGTTGTAGAACATAGGTCAATTGCCATATTGAATGTGTTCTTGTTTGCAACGAATAATTGGGTTAAGAACTAGTTATGAGAAATCGATTCTTGAATTCCTAATAACAAATGCCATGTTTTAGGGTTTTTGTGACACTCATATTCTCTTTGATCTTAATGGATTCTTGATTGTTAATTTGAGTAAATGCCATACTAGATTTCAATTAAGAATACACGTATTGATGTAAATGCCATACACTTTACATGCACTTAAGAGAGAATCATACAACTCGAGTCAAATGCCATGATCTTGTTGTGAGTGTCGTCATCATATGATTGCTAGAAATTGATTATCTATTGTTGTGTATGAATTGATTGATTGGTTAGAGGTGGATAGTGAGTCCTAGCTATTGTTCTTGATTGATTATAAACCAATTTCTCTTAAACTCTAATTTAAATTCTGTTTTGTTTTGTTTTCCTTATTTTGTTTTATTCACAAAATCAAATCAAAACCCCCCTTGGTGTTGGAGTGTGTGTGGAAGTCCTTGTGGTTTCAATCTTTATTTTATTTTCGTGTTTAATTGTGTTTTAGTTTTCATCGTGCGACATTGATAAACATCTCTTTAGATCACAATCTCTGTGGGATCGACCCTTGCTTGCTTACTATACTATCATTTGATTTGTGCACTTGCAAGGTTTAAATATTGTTGTTAAAAATTACCAACA